TCAAAAATTTTGAAGTTATCTAATAAACAATGTTATGACAGAGCATAACCATTACAATAGAATTTATACTTGGACAACATATCAGAACACTCCATCACAACACAGTATGATGTATAGGCAAACTAAAAGTCAATTAATTTTAACAATAACATATTAGATATGCATAATTTGCACAGATAAGCACCACCGTCAATGGAGCTGTCTTGTTTGGGTACAAACTGTTGCAATAATAAACTAAAATTTGTAAGTTTGTACATACCACTTCATAGTATGTTTGTATAGTCTGAAAAGTTAAACTTCTGTGTGTACACCCCTACCTTTTTTTCAAATACATTGACAGCACACTATTCAATTTGAACAACAAAACATTAATTCAAATAAAATTTTGATTCATACCAGCACTTGCTTGTTTTGTCACAGTAAAATATTTTTCAATAGAATCAAAATTTAAAAATTGATTTATGACGCTTAATAACCTATAAAATCCGCTATTAATATTGTAGACATATAAATTTTAAAAAGAACTTACAATTAAAATCTAGTGGCTTCTGACATGACAAGGCTACAATGGATTCAACTTCACTTATATCATATATAATCCTAATTTTATAGTGTTAAAACATAGATATTATATGTACAACTGTGATGAAATAACTTAAACAGGGCCGTAGCCAGGAACTCAAAATAGAGGGTTCGAAAATTGCTGCGCGCGAAGCGCGCAGCGAAAATTTTGACGAAATGGGCGTGGTTGGTAGGCGTGGTCTTAATTTACGCATCTCAGCCATGTGCTGACTCAGCTAAAATGGCTATCTGTGCTTCTCGCTGTTGCCAAAATGCTAATCCTGCTTTTGCAGTGCTGTTCTTCATGACAGGAGCTAATCTAAAACTTTTTTGCAGCTACAACAGGGGGTTCGTCCGAACCCCCCGAACCCCCCCTGGCTACGGGCCTGTTAAATAAAAGTATCAGTCAACAGTCCAGGCTCATCAGGTTGATTTGCAACCAATTTACTAAAGATTGCTGTTGGTAACGCACAAAACATAATTAATACTCTAAAAATTGCAGTTTTTATTTAATAATTGTCATCCTATATAGTCTACATTGTATTCCTGCTTATATTCACTGTAAATGGTAATTCCTATTTGAATATATTGATTGAAGATATAGACTTGCACCAAATAATATAGAAAAATCGTTAAAATGGTGTCACTGAACTCCTGTTAAGAATAACAAATAAAATTCAAGTGATGGTTCAGTATTGTGATGCTTAATGCAGCCTGTAGTAGCAATTTTGCATTGATAAAGTTACATTTTCGCTAACATGACCTCTTCTATTGATCCTAGCATAGTTAATACATACATAAATTTATTGTCCAAGTATAGAAGTGTCTTAAAGACAGACTATTCATGAATGATTGTCCTTTACATGGATATCTATGGTCCTGTCGGGTCCGCATCAGTCCGTCCGTCCTTTTCGGGCGGGGCGGGTCCGTCCGTCCGTCCGCTTTTGAGACCCTGCCGAAAAAATATGCGGCGCGCGAAACGCGCCGCGAAAAATTTTAAGAGCTAATTAATTTCATGATGGGCGTGGTCAATTAAATACTACGATTATTACTTTAATTAAGCTAAGATGTGCACTTCAGTGCTTATATTTTCTTCATTAGTAGTAGTACTAGCCTTGGGAAGACATTCAGACATTCAAACAGACTCAGCAGAGTTTCTTAGCCATTTTCAACTCGATTACTTTAATAATTAATGTGAATAGTCTAATAACTGATTGGTTAGTAGTAGTTATTATTTTAAAAATGGCAGCCCAATTGCCCAAATGGAACTATGGAAGTCTCTACCATGTCATCATTATATTTACACTGGCTAAAACTATTAGCTATGCTAGTCTTGTCTCATTGCTATCATAATAAAGTGAGCAATATTTTTAAAAGGACTAATATACAAAAGAAAAAATTTTTTGGTCTGCTGAGTTGGTCGCATGTCCAGCAATGAGTGGTCGCGGATTAGTATACTGAGCAATTATCTCCGTATACTACTGGTTGACTTTATACAGGGCAGGAATGGACATTTCCATTTACTAGGCTATATCTTTCTTCAGAATAAGCCTCATCAATTTGCGCACTTCAGTAGCTGTTCTCCATAATTATACCTGTGTTCCTGCTAAATATGACAGCACTTGGAGTAACTTTGTGTGGAACATTTACAGATTAAAGATGAGGCAGTCAGTGCCGCCATTTTGTCATTCCTTTATGTATGTATGATAATTTTTTTACTTTTTGAATGGTTATATCTAAATTTCAAACAATTTTTGACAAATTGCGCACTTACCTTGTGAAAGTAAAACATTTTTACTGCCCAATCATGCAAAAAAGATAAAGAAATTCAAAACTTTGTAGTTTGTTCGGAACTTTTGTCTTCTAAAGGTGAAATAATTTTAGTCATCTCAGTGAAAACGGGTGCAGCAACAAGAGTGAACAAGTGCTTTTCTCTTCTCATAGGAATAATAAAGTAAAATTAAGAGTGCTTAACAGCTACACAAGCAAATCATGTCTCTAGATCCTTTATAGTAAT